GAAAGAAAGAAAGAAAGAAAGAAAGAAAGAAAGAAAGAAAGAAAGAAGACAATAAAACCTAAAGACTCTGTAACTGAAACATATTTTATAACACATCTTCAGATATGTAAAACCCTTATGTATTTCTAATAAACTGTAGCCAGTGACGGTAGCTTGATCTTACATCAACAGGCAAGGCAGATTCTTGAACGCGAGTACAATAACCTCTTGGCCCTGGGCACTGAGCGACGACTGGATGAGGTAAGTTGCGACCTCACATTCAGATGTACCTTACTCTGGCCTCCCACAGGGAAGGGCACACCGATTGGTTGTCCAGTTGACCATATGGCCAAACCTAAACTTGTAGATACAAGTACTGTCATACAGACCAGGCAATGTATATGTGGGAATACATATGGATATCCCTATTGGCATTCAATAAAATAAATGAGTAAAAGAAGCCATGAATTTGGAAGAGTGCAGGTAGGGGTCTTAGGGAGGTTTTTAAAGGAGTAAAGGAAAGGAATATAAAGTCTCAAAAGTAAAACAGAGGCCAAAAATTTGAGGGTTAGGGCATTGGGTGGGGGGGTTGTAGGGAAAACGGATAGGGAAAATGATCTAAGCACATTTTACATTTTGGAAGGTGCCCTCCAGTATATAGGACGAGTGACAGCTTACCCATGCCTGCAGTAGTGCTTGCGGATGAGCAAGATTTATGGGTAGCATCTAGAAACCTTCTCATTTATTCTCACATTTTAAGTTATATTTATTAGTTTTGACATTTTATTTAGCACCGACATTCATAAATGTTGCTGGTTTCTTACTGAGATGTCGAAAGTAACTTAAAATAAGACATATTTATGAGCAGTGATAATAAAGTTTCAAGAAACGTTATCTTAAAATTTATAGAAAATTAAACACTAATATTTGGTCCTTTTGGCACTCCTGTCCATGTCTTACTAACTCCCCCTTCTTTCATATAGATATAACTTAGAACCCTTGCTCAGCCATAGCCCATGGCACCTTAGCATCCAAAGGGGTTTCCCTTGTAAGGGAAATAGGGACTGTCTCTGATATGAACACAGTGACTGGCTCTTTGACCTCTCCCCCACCATGAGGGAGGAGCAGCCTTGCTAGGCCACAAAGGAGGACATTGCAGCCAGTCCTGATGAGATCTGATAAACTAGGGACAGATGGAAGGGGAGGAGGGCCTCCTCTATCAGTGGACTTAGAGAGGGACATGGATGAGATGAGGGAGGGAGGGTGGGATTGAGAGGAAATGAGGGAGGGGACTACAGCTGGGATACAAAGTAAATAAACTGCAATTAACATAAGAAAATAAAAATTAAAAAAGAAGCACGAAAAAAATAAACACTAATATTTAAAAGTTCAACTTTTAAATAAGGAATGTGCTTTCCTAAGTGTCATTACATCTTCAAAAAATACTTCAGAATATTTAAATGAAGAAAATTTGTTTTTTTAATGAATTGAAAACTTTTTTCTAATTTAACATGGGGGATGCTTTCTTTCCTTAAAAATAAATAACATCTTAAATGTTATAGGTGACGATGGTTATAATGAATATGAGAAGGCCTGAGCATAGCATATACATGCCCAAGTGATTTGGAGAGCAAATGAGTAAATACAATGGAGATTCGCAATCTTTATGATTGATAGATACATTAATATAGCACTTCTGAGTTTTTTTAATGTTTTCTTTTTTCTGGAAGAAGTAAAAAGGAAAGCTTGGGATAGAATAGAAAATAGAGATGCATAAGTCCTGTGGCAAGTACTGGCATTCCTTAACTTAAAGACAGCTGTTGAAAATAATTTTTTTATGCTGAAAATGTAGCTCAGTGTAAAAGGTGGGACTGTAAAGTGCAAAAATCTTAGGTCCAATCCAGGCCCACAAAGATGTACAACTTGAAATACCAGAAAGCACAGCAATAATTCTGTATTCAAGTGAGCAAGGCAGATGACTTTGCTGTTATAAACTAATGTCGTCCCCGTGCAGTGAAAACTGCAGATGACTCTGCTATGAGTTCTGCTGTCAATAACATTCACTGTTCTTTCAGAGAAACTCAGCTCAGTTCCACGCACCCCCATCAGGCAACTTACATGACACACTTTTCTGTCTCCTGCAGGTATGGCAAACAAATACACCCACACACAAAGTCACACACACATGTTTTTAAAGATTCTTTTTAAAAGGATGTATCTTAACTTCTATTTCTTGAAGACGTTTTGTCAAGTTATTGCTGCTGGAATTCCTGTTGATTTTCTGCAGCGACTCCTTTATGTAGTGAAAGAACAGTGGGAGAGTGTCATGATTGAGTCTCTTCACTCACTGATTTAAAATAGAAACTTCACTTGTATATTGAAAAAGTCATACAGCCTTAAAATGTCAGTTTTGTGTAATTGATAAATATTTAACTAAAGGGCAATTTCTCTAAAAAAAAACCAAGAAGTTAGGCCATAATAAATTTACATATTATAATATAACAGATATATAATATAATATAATATAATATAATATAATATAATATAATATAAT